GGCGAGTCAGGCCGGTCAAACAGGAGCAGCAGTTCGAGAGGAAGTGGTGAATCATCAGACGGGCTACCACTAGAATTCCTTGAATGCTTCTACTGTAAAAAGAAACACCGAGGGGGATGGTTTCACTGCACAGTGCGAAAGAAGGAGGACCCTACGTGGAGACCGGCAAGAAGAGGTGACAAGGCTGGAAGAGGAAGGGGTACGGATTTTCGGTAGAACCCCCTATAGACGGGCAGAGTGATGGGGGCGGGGAGAATACTGGAGAGCAACCTAGCAGCAGAGAAGGGGAGGAGCATGACGTGAAACCTTGGGCATGTGCCAGAGCCCAATTTCGGGTCATTACTCCTGAGAAGGGTGGTAAAGGACGGCGGAAGCAGTTACAACAGATGAAGGGGATCGCTTCAGAGGGTCTGAACTCGACACCATATATTAGGATTAAGTGGGAGAATGGAGTTGAGGAAACTGCACTGTTCGATACAGGGGCCCAGTGGTCATTAATATGTGAGGACTTACTTACAGAACAGGAGAAGGCCACAATGGAGAAATCGGCGTTATGTGGGAGAGGAGTATCCGGCGAAAGAATACCTGTCACGGGAGAGATACGAAGAACTGTCTCTGTGGGTGGACTGACTTTTGCCCACCAGCGATTCATTGTGGTTGAGAAGATGATCTGCTCGATGATATTGGGGATAGATTTCTGGTCTAGGATAGCCAACATATCATTTGACTTCAACAAGAGTGTGATGACTATCAATGGTAACAGTGAAGAGATAGAGTTGCTATGCCACCCAGCTGCAGGCAGGAACAGCGTCGCAGGGACCATTGAGGAGGAGAACTCAGTGGAAGTGGTAGTGGATGCCGAATGTAAGATCCCTACCAGGAGTGAGGCGTTAGTGACATGTTACATCCCCAACATGGAGATGGGTAAGGAATATATGGTTCAACCAATAACGTTTGACGATAAGCTAGTAAGCACACCTTACGGGATTGTTCACGGAACAAAGAGCGGTAAGGTACAGATCAGGGTAGCAAATCTAGGAGAGGAAGAAGTGACCCTGGCAGAAGGGGATCCCATTGCTACAGTTGAACTCGGGACCGTATGGGTATCAAACCACAATGCGGGTAAAGCGTTCACCAGGGATACAAAGAAAGGCAAAGCAACGGAATTGAGCGAGTTGGTGTGCAGTGAGCTGGAGCCGAGCAAGAGGGGTCAATTAATAGGACTTTTAAACAGATATGAAGGTGTGTTCTATAAGAGAGGAGAGCTGCCTATTGTTAGAGTGGGTGTGGAACACACCATAAGGCTGAAAGAGGACAGCTCACCAGTAGTGAGCAAGCCGAGGAGGTTGTCAAAAGAGTTAGCCGATGAAGTCCGGGAACACGTCGATGAGCTACTCAAACAAGGAGTAGTCAGGGAATCTAACAGCCAATGGGCATCACCCATAGTGTGTGCACGCAAGAAAGACGGGAGCCTGAGGATGGCGATTGATTATCGGATAACCAATGAGAAGTCAAATACAGCGACTTTACATCCAATACCGCTCATTGACGATCTTTTGGACAGGCTGGGGAAGGCTAAGTACTTTGCAGTCCTTGATGCAAAGTCGGGATACCACCAGTTACCACTACGAAAGGAAGATTCGGAGACAACGGCATTTGTAGTACCATGGGGGCATTATGAGTTTGCAGGAAGAACCCCGTTTGGTTTGAAAGGTGCGGGATATTCGTTCCAAAGGATGATGTCAGTGATCTTGGGGAGTTCAAACTTCGTCGATGCACTGTGCTATTTGGACGACATCCTAGTCTGGGGGGAAACTTGGGAGGTATTCATGAAACGGCTCAAGAAGGTGCTGGAAAAGGTGAAGGATGCAGGCCTGGCCTTGGCATCGAAGAAGTGCCAGTTTGGAGTCAGGGAAGTCAGTTACTTGGGATGCACCATCAAAGAAGGCATGGTGAAGATAAATGAACAGAGAGTGCAGCAACTGAGGAGCATAGAGCGCCCTCATAATGTACAAGAGCTTAGAAGGGCTTTAGGTGCGTTTGGCTACGTGCAAAGGTGGCTACCAGGATTGTCACAGATTGCCAGGCCATTGTATAATAGTATAATGCGATCACGGACCAGCCGTATGCCCGGCTAAAGTGGACGGAGGAAATGAATGAATCATTTTCAACAATAAAGAAATTGATTGCGGACGCAGTGTCGTTGAGTTTGCCCGACATGGATAAGCCATTCACCTTAGTAACGGACTGTAGTCAAATGGCAGCGGGAGCCATGCTGGCACAGAGGTGCATGGAAGCACCGGATACCCTGAAGCCTGTGGCATTCTACCACCACGCGTTATCCAAAGCAGAACAGGGATACTCAGCTACCGAGAAGGAGTTGTTGGCGATGTTTAAGGCGGTAGTGAAGTTCAGAGTGTATCTAGGCAAGCAGTTCAACCTTATTACGGACCACCAAGCACTGAGTTGGCTTCGTTCACTTGAACCGGAGAATGAGACGGGGAGAAGGGGACGTTGGTTAGACCTGATTCAGCAGTTTGACATGAAAGTCACTCATAAGAAAGGGAAAAGCCCAGAGATGAGAATAGCTGATTACCTTTCACGGGTCAAATGTGACGGAAATGTAGCTGTGAAAGACCGTAGCGAAGTGTTTGTCGTGATGACCGCTGGAGGCGAGGAGGCGATAACTGTCAGTCGAGAACAGATCCTGAGCGAGCAGAGCAATGACGCAGCAGTACAAACGATGCGTAAGGCGGTTTTTAAAGGAACTGATCTGAACCCCGGGAATAGCGAATCAGAATCGTGGAGGAAGCCCAGCGGGAGCAACGATGAGGAAGTCAAAGCGATGTGGAAGCATAGGGACAGGATTTTCGTCGACTCAGAGGGGATATTAAGATTACGGTTCAACGGGGGAAAGAAGCGGGAAAGCAACCCCTTCGGAACAGTGGAAAAGAACAGGATAATAGTTCCTAAGACGTACAGGGACAAAATTATGAATCTTGTTCATAGGAGTGCTACAGCGGCTCATATGGGGAACACACGCACCTGGAAGAGGGCACGAGATAACTTTTGGTGGCCGAACATGAGGCAAGACATAGAACAATACGTTCAGGCATGTGAAGAGTGTGGTCTGAACAAACACGTCAACAACCCGAACAAGGCGCCAGTGTCCAAGACGAGTATACCCGGAAAACCTCTGGAGGAGATGATGCTTGATTTTCTTGGTCCATTCCAGACAGCGAGGGAGCATCCATACAGGTACGTCCTCCAAATGCAAGATGTGTTTAGTCGATTCATAATCTTTGTACCGACCATTGATGCAAGAGCAAAAACGGCAGCAGATGCAGTGGTCGAAAGATGGATAAGTCTTTTCGGGATCCCGGAAAAGATGAGATCGGATAGAGGTCCACATTTTATTGCAGAGGTGTTCGAGGAACTGTGTAAAAGAGTGGGTATCAGACACAAGTTGGGTTCATCGGGACACCCCCAGAGCCAGGGGCAAGTAGAGAGGCAGAACCAGTTAATGAACCAGATCAGATGCCTTTGCGAGAACGATGGGGAGAAGTGGCCGGAGGCCTTATACCTGGTACAAGGGAGCCACAACAACTCGATCAACGCTACAACAGGTTTTACTCCAGCTAGGCTTTTGTTTGGCAGGGATTTTAACCGACCAGACGACATGATTGCTCAGGAGAGGGATAAGGTGAAAAAGCCTGGAACAACTGTATTGGAGGAGAGGGACGAAGAATGCAGACTGTTGACTGAGCAAGCACGAACAAACCTGGTCGAATATCAAGAGGAGAGAGTGGAATCAGCAGAGAAAGAAGGACCCTGCAAAACCCCGTACGAAGTAGGCGACTTGGTGCGTTATAGGCTCACGGACGAAGCAAGGAGCAATAAAGGCGGGAAGACATCCCCCCGCTACTCGGAGCCGTACAGGGTAACAGTGATCAAGGGTGACGGATATACTTACACGATGGAGCCAGTGGATAAGGACAGTAGAGGCACGCGTAAAGATAGACGGTTCAACTACTTGAAAACGCACAAGAGAGTAGTGAGCAGTGAGGTGGCTCCGGAGCCAGACAGCCCTACGATGACACAACCCCAGCGAGATGAACTACACCCTCAAGTGAACGACGGTGTTCCGGAGGTCATGGAACAGTCCCCGGTAGCTCCACCTGATGCGGCGCTAACCGTTCGGAGATCCGGGAGGACTAGGAATCCAGTGAGGTTACTGCAGGCGGACGGGAAGAAGAAGCGGTACGAAGATGCAGAGGCCAGCGGACAAACAGACGCAGATGAGGATTGATGGAATTTGGGGTATTTCAGAGGGTAATAGGACATTTGGGACATGATAGAAATGATACAAATATGTTATACTATTTATCATGACTATTGGATTAATATGATACATAACGATATTATATTATACATGACAGTCAATTCATGACCGTCATTTTGTTATAACGCGAGGAACGGACATTATTATTATCATGAGGGACATTATTTACATGATTAATAATATATTATTGACAATGAGAATCTTGTTATAACGTGATGAACAGACATTATTATAATCATGAGGGACGTTATTTACATGATTAATAATATTTTATTGACGATAAGAATCTTGTTATAACGTGATGAACGGACACTATTATTATCATGAGGGACATTATTTACATGAATAATAATATTTTATCACGTTGGACTTTTACCCCAATGTCAATATCCAGCTTATTGATTGGGAAGGATGTAAAGGATACGCAGATAGATAACGATTCAAATAAGTATCATTTGGAAAGACGTCTAGTAACATACATTGGAAGATAACGTGGAATCTGAGATATGAGGAGTGTTATGATTGTTACTAACGATGTTACTTATCTTAGCATGGAGCTTTAGCTCACTCTTATTACAAAGGTAAGAGCAAGTCATTTCAATATTGCTTATCAGTAATAATATACATGTAGTTGACTAGAAAGAAAAATGCGAGTGTTCTATGAAATAAATAAATTAATTGAACATATTTAAGTATTTACATCAAAATTCATTGCGAAAACTGAAAATAATTGAAATTCCCCAGCTGTTCTGAAATTCGAGCTGAAATTTAACAAAATTGTAATTTTGTAATATTTAAAAAAGCAATCAGTAATAATCTTACCGATTTTAGTTTAAAATTTCCATATGTTATAGCAATTCAAAAGAAGAACAATTCTGAAAAGTTTGTAAAATCATTAAAATAATAGAGACCACTAAAAGTGCCGATCTGAGAAGTGTCTGAAAAAGAGAGGTCTGACCTCCGACAGATCTGTTTTTAAGCGCGAGGGAGAGAGGAATGATGAATCCCAGAGGAAATGCTGCTAGGTTACCTGGAGGAAAGTTGAATGGTACAAGATTTCGTGTAACCTAAAGTACAAATCATTATCATGATTATGGGTGATTGATAGCGAATTCTGCATGTAGTTGAACAAAAAGTAAAAATTTCGATCTACACAACAACTCATGATCTTATCAATATCTGGGAACGAACCTGCCCAAGCCAGAAGTGGGCCAATATTATCGAGATATATGGCTGGTACGGTGGTGCTCACCACTAGCATTAACTTTATCGTTAATCTGTTGGTTAAAGAGCGGTTACAAAATAATTTTTAATCAATTTTATCAAAATTATAATTTAAATTCATTTTATCTAAATCAGTTTATTAGCCTATGTTTGAGGACGATGTTGTTTATTTGCAGTATGAGCCTACCTGGATCTAATCAAAGCATTTATTAAACACAAATTTAATAATTGCTTTTAACTGATGACGTTATCAATTATGACCCTCAGTTACATTGCCATTATTTGCCATTAACTTTCATCTCACCCCAATAATTTTGACGGCTGTCCCCATTCACCGTAGAGAAGTCTGCAAATTGTGTTATAACAGGAGAAATGTTCCAGCGGGTAAGCTACCAAAGCTGTTATCAAAAACATCCCCATAGCAATCTGAACAATAATTTAGAAATGTGAAATCATAGGATGACATAAACCACAAAAAACAACCTTACTGACAATTGACATGAGTATTATTAGTTATAAATATTTCGCACCTTCCCATAACAATTCCCTGCAATGGAGCCGACGTCAGGGTTATTCCATGACAATATGTTTCCAGGACAGTTCCTTACTCCCTCCGCATCATGACACAGATAGTAGCTGGAAGAATCAGTATATTATCTAAACTAAGTAATGAAGTCATATTATGTGCTTCTAACGAACATTGATGATATCCATGCTTTTTTTGAAATTTTTAATACGGGAAGCTTGGCTATAAAGCCCACTAAAATATGCGTAATGTCTAGTACATTTCTTTCCCAATTTGGACACTTGAGGAGAGCGCACTGAAACTGAAATCACGAGGCTTATCAAACTTAAAATAAAACTGTGCTATTAAAAAAAGGTTCCTTACCCAGTCAATCCGACTAATAAAAAGAAAATGAAGGATGTTGAGATAGCAAGATGGACCACCTTGTGATAGTTCCCTTTCTTCGCGATCACATTGTCCCCCTGCAATATATTGTTGATCTTCATGCTCATGTCTGACAATATATTAAGGGGGCCGGGGGGGTCTTCATCAAAATTATCTCGAAATTGACTTTGTAGTTGTTTCTGATGGAGGGGAGTGATATCTATCAGCTGTTTTTGGTCCCATGGCAAAATATTGTTCCTAGCCGAAATTATTGCCGGTCAAAGGTTAGCGCTTATGTGTAATTGTATTGCGCGAGCGATTTTCAATTGCGCGCCCTGAAAATCGAGTCTAAAAATCTATCTTCTCCTACATTTTTTGAGCAATCACCCTGAAACTTTGAGGATATGTTCTAAGGACCATTTAGAAGAGATTGTCGGGCCAGAATTTTGAGATAGGCCTTAGAAAATTTTTTATTCGATTTTGAAAATCTTTTAAAAAAATTTTTTTTAAAAATTTCTAAGGCCCATCTCAAAATTTTGGCCCGACAATCTCTTCTAAATGGTCCTTAGAACATATCCTGAAAGTTTCAGGGTGATTGCTCAAACAATGTAGGAGAAGATAGATTTTTAGACTCGATTTTCAGGGCGCGCGATTGATAATCGCTCGCGCAATACAATTACACATAAGCGCTGATCTTTGACCGGCAATAATTTCGGCTAGGAACAATATTTTTCCATGGGACCAAAAACAGCTGATAGATATCACTCCCCTCCATCAGAAACAACTACAAAGTCAATTTCGAGAGAATTTTGATGAAGACCCCCCCCCCCCCCCCCGGCCCCCTTAATCTTGATTGTAGTGGTACGAGTGACCATAAGAAATATTGATCTTGATGTCAGAGTTGTCCGAAGGGGGGGGGGGATATTCCCAATATACCACATTTCACAAAATCGTTACAAAGCTGATTTCTCACCGGTAGACTCTGAAGGGTGGGTGTAATGATCTGATGACAAACGAACCCCGTCGCAAACACCCCCAAACCAGTCAATACCTCCCCTCCGAACCTATCTATGGTATTGATTGGTTCTCTGGTGATGTCGAAGTAGACGAGAGATAGAGCCAAGATCAGGATAGAAACTATTGATATCATAGAGGAATATCCCAGCATCTGCAGAGATATCGATCAATAATTTATCGTGTCGTAGCATCGGGTATAGGACGCTGCGGCGGAAGTCACTGCGGCGGTGGACGGTACAGCGGAGGACGGTACAGCGGAGGACGGTACGGCGGTAGTTTCCAAAAAGGTTGGACAGTACGGCGGATCACATGACACCCACTTTACTTTGGACAATACGGCGGTACTACTACTAGAAACTGTACCTATAAGATAGACCTAGCACTGCTAATATAACAAAATCGATTAGCTTTAAAAAGTTCTATTTTCTTCTTTGTTACTTCGAATTAATTTTAATTAAAATTAAATTGGATAAAGTTTAACATATACATTGTGATTACTAAGAGCAGTTCTTGTTCCACTTTCTGGTTCGTATCAGATCGCGTCCGGTCTGCACAACGGTGGTTAAGCGAGTGCATGATGAGCTTGTTACGGTGAGATCTCATATCACTTCGCCGAGATGCAATGGGTAATAACAAGGGCATGAGAACACGTCACGAGGGATCGCATCCAGGAATCTGATCAACCGTAGCCAAGAAGAGAGGTTGCTCAGTGAAACGTAGATAATGATAGAGGCAAACAGTATATAAAGCGGATCAAAGTTGAGGGGATTATCTCATTAGCACTACCATCTCCACTCTCCAGTACTGCAACACTACAACTTGAGTACAACAGCTACAACGATGTTCATTGTTCGATGAAGATACGGTGAAGGTGGTCAGAGGGAGAACTTGCTATTGTGTGTGTCAAGTTATATTAACTTCTTGATTTTCAACAACTCAATATTCTCGATTTACATTGTCTGCAAAGCCCTGAATAAAAAAAATGAACAACTGAACTAACAAGAATTATACAAAATGATAAAGAGAAAATAAAAAATAAAACTTATAATGAGAATCTAGAACAAAACTTAGAAACTAGTTGAATGTGTAAGTTCTGTCTTAGGTACAGTTTCTAGTAGTACCGCCGTACTGTCCAAAGTAAAGTGGGTGTCATGTGATCCGCCGTACCGTCCAACCTTTTTGGAAACTACCGCCGTACCGTCCTCCGCTGTACCGTCCTCCGCTGTACCGCCCACCGCCGCAGTGACTTCCGCCGCAGTGACCGGTTCCCCGTAGCATCACGTGGTTAAATCAAAACAGTATTTGCAACAAACCAGTTACGAAAATCAACATTGCTATTCTGTTCAATAATTGTTTACATTTAAAAAAAAAGTAAAGTAAATGGCCGTGACAAAGTGTCCAAGTGACAAAGTGACCAAGTGACCAAGTGACAAAGTGACACAGTGACAAATTGCTAACCTTGAGTGTAGCGAATGAAGATAAAGGTAGGATAACAACAGTTGTTAGAAGTAACACTAGTACAGTGTTTAGGGGGATACTTGAAATCAGGGCATTTTTAACCCAGTCCGTCCTTAAAATACCCATCAAATTACTGAAAGTAAAGTGGTTGAGAAAGGAAAGCTAAGAGAGAAAGTATGTAATGTATTATTATAATCAAAGCAGATTCTGTGCGACTTGCATAAAACATTTTGTGTGCGCTGTTCCTCTCCAAACTTAGGTTAATACTTAATTCAGGACCAATCTATATATATATAATTATATAAGGCACAAAACAAAATTAATTAAACTTACTCGGCGGATATAATTTGGTAAGAAATCATGAGGCTGAGACTTAAAGAAAGTTGGGTGGTCGCCTGAATGTATCGTCCAAACTTTCCAAAACTTATCTGAAATTGTAAAAATATTCAACCGTTGAGACATGGCAGTTAGCCGTTTTACTCAGCCTGGTTGGTCAACATATCGCATGATTAAAAATGATAAAACCGTGAAATCAGGAATTTTACGCGTAGTGTCGAAAATTGAAGAAAGAATTAAAGTACCTCGCAAATTTCCTGATAATCATAGACGTCCAGCTTCATACAGGTTTCACCCAGACAAAGAGAAGTGTAGTCCACTAGTAATCCTACACAGGCTAGAAGTGGAATACCACCCAACCATCCTGGTAAGAGACTAGAGGTGAGTTTAACAGTAATTAAACAGCAATTAAAAAGCAATTAAACAGCAATTAAAAAGCAATTAAACAGCAATTAAACAGCAATTAAAAAGTAATTAAAAAGCAATTTAAGAGCAACTAAACAGGAATCACTTCACATAAAACAACAACAAAGTGTAAAGACTGAATTATGATAAAAACTGCACCGACCCTCTCAAACCTGTTTTATCGAAGCCGAAAGGTATACTGAGCAGTGCAGACGCCACCACACACACCGTCAGATTAAAGTAAGCTTTACACACAGTTGTTGTTTCTTTAGAGGCTCCTGTTAGTTGTGTTCGCTCTTCAGAACCCATCTCACTGGTTGGAGGTGGTGGTGAGCATGGTTTTGTAGTTGGTGTTTTTGGAAAAGAATTAGGTAGTCACGATGTAATATGTATTTATCAGAGAGAGAGACGCAGATTAAAACATTTTGCTGGTTGGTGAAATTCCACATTGGTCAAAAAACTTTGATGTCACAAGATACATAGCAAGATATATGGGTAATCAACCCATGAACATGGGGCTTTATATAAAGGTGATTATACTTGCAGTACATATGAAAATCCTCTTCCTTATTGAAATAAAGTGAGCTTGTACATACAGTGTGGACAATGATGCAAAGTTACTTATAATCTGATATAAATCTACTCATCTAGTCCCAGGCTGAGGCATCCTATCCATATAATTGTTAAACCTGTTATGGAGGTAGCTCTAGATTTATACATCTTGAATTGTCATGAAACTTGTCGTAATTTATTTTTTGTATTAAAATCAACATAATCGCGTAAGGCAACGTTATACATAACATAAAAACATGTATTTACATGAAACAACACTGTTGAGTAATCCATGACCTATAAGAGTACCTAATGCTGCAAATTTGGGAATTGTTCCCTATTTTCCATGCAAGAATGACTGAAGAATTGTTCATTCAGCTTAGGTTGGTGTACAGTCTACACTGCAAAGCAAATCAGCCAGATAGTCAAACTATTAGTTTCCCTATTAGAAACAGGGGGTTCATACCCTGAGGAACTAGGATTAGAGCTGGACACAACTGTAAGTGTATCAGCAAAAAAGGAAAAAAACCGCTGACTGAAGACTTCTCGATACAAGATACACAGCAAGATATATGGGTAATCAACCGGCCGTGAACATGGGACTTTATATAGAGGTGAGTATAGTAGCAGTACATATGAACATCCTCTTCCTTGTTGAAATAAAGTGAGCCTTCAACGTCAAAGAAGCGTTTCCGACCTCAACCGAGTCCTGCACGCACCTCAAATAACAGTTGAGTAGTGTTCAGATCAATTCATTTTTAGGTCGCATCGTTGTGCGAATCAGTGAATTTCAGTAGTTAGATTATTTGAAATACTTTTATAAGCGAAATACAAGCACTATAATACGTTGGTGAATACCAAATATGTCCACATTATACGAGTTGATTTTCCTAATAAGCACCCATTCAAGCAACCCGTAATTAATTGAGTGCTGTGTGGGATTATGAACTAAGCCGAATCGCCGGACGCCGATACAGGCAATGATCAAACATCAGCAACACCTGATACTGACGAGTAATCTGTATTTTTCTCTGGCTAAACTTTAAAGCGCAATCAAAATTTAATTTCAATAAAATAGTATCATATTCACACTTGAATATATCTTTTTGGGGAGCGTGCTATGAGTCATATAATTTGTTTATTTACTTATATGATATTCTCGGTAGAAATATGATATAAAAAGTAGAACAATCATTGAACTAGTTTTTATTATATGATTATACAATGATGCTGTACTATAACAGTCATACCAGTACACTAGTGCCGATAGCATCGGACTTGCGATCTTTGACTAATCTATATTAGTATACACTATACAGACACCAGTAATCGACGTGAAAACATGTTGATGTGATCTTCTCAGCTTTAGTCTCACTGTGTATCATTGTATGTACTTATCAAATTTAATTATTGCTTACCTTTCGCAACCATAGGCATAAGGTGGCTCAAAGATCATCCAGAATGAAGACAAAAACTCTCCCTCACAATCAGCTGGCACCGTAATGGTCCACTGATGAGCGATCAGTCTGGCCAGTGGGTTGCTCAACAGCAACAACTGCCTCATACTAGGTATACTACGAGCAAAACATTGTCCAACTTTAACTAAACTCATCAATATCGAACAAAGGTCTAAACGTCTTTGTTTGTTTATTCAACGCAACATTTGCATGAGGGATAAGTTCCTTATAAGAGTAATTAATTATATATACCGCATTGAATCTAGCAACCTGAACGGATCCGTACCTTTCTATGGCTCGTGCATTTGCTTTACTACGATCCGTAGTGTACACTCGTAAATAAGTAATTCGGCATTATCTCTATCTACATTAATTTGAGGACGAATGATCGCCTGTAACTATGACATTTTAATGGGAACTTCTTCAAAATGTATGACTATGAATAGAGTAAACACTAATGACTAAACAGCTCGCATATACAGAGATTAGACTATGAGACGTCACTGGAAACTGCGAAAGAGCTCTCGTATCTTTACAAATAGAGCAAGACAGAGAGCACAACATAATCTATAATCTAAAAGGAAGACATTGATTTTATTTGAATTCACGTTCCAGAAATTACATAGGCGTGAGAAGTTCAAATGAGCTCCTCACTGAGGAGTCCTCGGCTGCAATAATCAAAATATGTGCTGGTGACTTGATACGTCCATCGCGTGAAGTTGTCAAATTTAATGTTGAGTATATCTGTATTTGAAAATTTTTAAGTCGATCGGCAAAACATCAAAAAACAATAAATTATTTTTGTAAGTATTGGATGATTTAATTAACAAGTAAAGCTGACTGATTAAGAATTTAAGTAACTCACTCGTCGCTGCTAAACTCGTCACTGTTCGACCAATCAGCTAGCAAATGCCTGAAAAATAAACGATTTAATAAAAATTTATGAAAGATGTCAATACAATTACAATTGAGTCATTAAGAACTAAGAAGTCCCAGTTACTTCTGTCATGAAACTTAAATGATACTTAAAATTGATTTATTTCGTCGCTGATTAAATCAAAAGTTACTCTTTATCGACATACGAGAGCTCATATCTTATGATAATAATTTAAAATTCTTGAACTTTTACCTGAATTCGTAGGAGCTTTTCAGGTGGAGAGGCGAACTCTTTGAAACAGTCTTTGCTTCGAGTTTGACTCTGAAGTAAAAATGTGTTGAACTCGTGCTGGTTTTTAAGTCTGGTTTTTACTTTGTCTTTATATTAACTGAGTTTGTACTTCAGCAATGCCGCAATGGTCCGTACTGAGTACCGACTTACGGGTTGAAAGAGGTTAAAAACGTGTATCGGGATTCGTTTCGGATTGAATAGTTAGATTCTAGACAGTAATAGCATCCGGCTTATAGTTATATCTTTAATGGCTTTATCATTCAATCACTCATTGGCTAATGGCTATATTATAAACCATCTTAATTTTAATATAGTTCGATTCGTACGTATAGTTAGTGACGACTGGCGATACCATTACCATCGCTCTTAAAATTGAAAATGGCAATTTGGACCTATCAAATAGTTATTGTGGCGCATCGTTCGAACCTTCAGTTTCGTTGATACCGATAATTTCATGCGTGGCCCAATGATTTGTTAGAGCCATTGGGCATTGAGTTTAGTTCCAATGACGTCATTGAGCTCAGTGAACCATTGAAAATTTTGAAAATATAACGCGGTCCTATTGCATTTGCGTTAATATAAGATAAAATGTACTGCAATGCTTCCCTGGGCATCTCATACAAAGAGTTCTTCAAAACTGTACAATTACTTTAAAAAATCCTAACATACATTTTTAAGGGAAATTGTAATGTCACTAAGTGTCGCCGATGGATAAAAGCCATGGTCGGCTGTCGCCACTGTGATTGAGTTGTGGACACTTGATCTGTAGTCTAAACTCATGTTTACATTTTAAGCCACTCAAAGTCAAATAACTTTAGCTCGTACTCACGATGACATCTCCATTATGGGTAAAAGCTTCCTCAAATATCAAAGAAGTTCTGGTGATTGAGTTGGAGTATCTGGACTCGTTGGTTATTTATCAGAAATAAGCAGAAAATGCCATTGGAAGGTGCAGTTTAAAGGTGGTTGAGGGATCAAAACACAGATCTATCCGATTAATTCACAAGAAGACACGTCTTTACTAATCCATTTCTAACGGTCACTTCTGAATTTCCTCGTTAATAAATCTACTGGCACGATCAATGATTCAAGAGATGGCATTTGATACAATAGTATCATTAAAAACAGCGATTAGATATCATTCAAAATTTCCGCCATAACACTTATTTCAGAGCTTAGTTACTCCTTCATAAACATTTTCATTTTCAAACTCACAAGACACAAATCCTATTGCCCACGAACGAGACGAAAATTGAATAAGAATACTTATCTTTTAAAATGAAATAATGTGCCTATATCCCGCCCATAATCCATATGGATAGCAGCTGGCACAGGGGGCAGTCACTAACAATAACTAAATCAGAGCGGCTCTAAAGGGCGGAGTGGAAAAACTGATTCATCATTAAAACGAACTGATATCAAAAAGCTAATGAATCGTGACGTCGTTGTTCAGTATTTTATTCATATGTAGACAAAAAAGTAGTGAACCACATACAAATCCGAGCAGTAACTTTCTGGAGCACATTTTGATTAATTAGACGTTGAAGATTTTCTAAACAGTTCCGAAAGGACAACAATAGACGTACTTACTTAAAATAAAATGTCAAGAAGATTCATTATGCGACTGACTTCACATGGCTATTTAAGGTATAATTTGATTTAAAACAAAAGGCCAATTTAGAGTTTCAACTTGAAGCACAGTGCAGTAAAAAAGGAACAGTTCAACATCAAGATGACTCGTTGGCCGATATAGTCAAATCAGAAATTGTACGATCATTGCTCAATATAAATGATCAGAAATGTCCATTGCACAATAGTGATCAGATATCACCAATCACAGGGCCATGGGCATAAGCTCATCAAATATTGTAAGGTCGCGGGTCAGTGGTCTGTGGTTACTAGCGAACAGAAATTTTATGCAATAAATGTTTTGTTAAATTTGCTATTTACTGACAAAAATAATGTTTTCTACCCTACTCCAAGATTAACGAAAGTTGCACAATAATATATACAGGGTTGATGTAATTGCTGCAAACTAGGCAAGAAACACAAAAATAAATGAGCTGCTGTGTAGCTAGTTTTGATTAAATGCCCACGCAATATCCAATGTAATACCCCTAACTTGCTCGTTCATTAATCTTACATTAGAATTGCTCAGGATATTTCTAACATTTATTAATGAGATGAAGCTGTTGTATTCGAGGGTACCATCAACTAATGAATCACCAACCGAAAAGGTTCAAAGTTATGCTCATATGCATATTGCACAGTGCAGACTGCAGTTTCACACGGTGGACGTAGCTTGCTTGCATATAATATTTATGCAGCACGAGTTGTAAAGAAGGAAAGTCTGATAATGACTATTTTAGTTACAATTTCCGACTGTTTAGGATAAGAATTAGACAAACGCTCTGACTGAGAGTGAGACTCAATCTGGTCAGTGCTAGAAAAATACTTAAAATATTATAACAGCCTCCTCTATTGGTCTTAAATAAAAGGAATCATCTTAATATAATTATCAGAATAGAATCAGACATAATGCTTCAAATAAATAAGTTTGAAGTTGGGCCTCTCATAATGACTATATAAAAGTTGAAACCGGAAGGATGTTGTCAGATATAACTTTAATGCATGCGAAAATCAAATCAGAAACCGGATGAAATTGGAATTAAAACGAATTTAACCCATATTCACCCATGGGCCTTTTAAAAGGACGGCTTTTAAATACCAGTGTAATTTCGGAAGGTATTTATATTTTTTAATTTGGTTTTCTGTATTAGTTGGGAAAAGGTCTTCTAGGTAACTTGACAATGTTTTGAAAATATCTAGACCGTCAAAGAATTCATGGGCTAGAGCCAAACATGGTCAAAAATTGTACTTTCAAATGTCGCTCAATTCAGGCAAAATTTGAAAAATTTTAAGTCCTGGCAAATCAAAACTTTGGATACTATAAATTGCCCCAATGATTGTCTATTCAATAAACCCTGACATGGGGTATACTGACTTTCTTTAAATTGAATTAAATGAAGTAGATTTTGGGTGTCCTTTGAAAAGGACAGTGTTTCTGTGAACGCTGTCCTTTTTAAATTACGTCCTTTTAAAAGGACAGTATTTTTGAAGGGCGTCCTTTTAAAAGGACGCCTATTTGAGATGACATGATTCTACGTTTGACATGTCCTTTTTAAAGGACATTTCAACCACAGTGATATATTTTAGCATAACTGATAAGTCTGGATAGCTTTCCTTCTTCAGCAAACAAGCTAAGGTGTGGCCACCTCGTATTCTAGTGGCCACTCCTCAGTGGATGGCGGTGTTCCACTCTGCGAGTGCAGCCATGTGTTGAAGACAGCCTTGTGCAGGTGCTGTCTTGTGATGAGCCTACAGGTTGGCCAGTAATTGCTTCCACCGGAAAGCCATCGTTATACACTGGAATAAATTATTTACGGTCCTTCCAGCCTCCCTAATACCCCACAATCCAGTAATACCCCTCCTTCCAGCCTCCCTAACACCCCACAATCCAGTACTACCCCTCCTTCCAGCTTCCCTAACACCCAACAATCCATTACCACCCCTCCCTGGCCCTCTAGCCTCCATAACACCCCAAAATCCTGTACCACCCCTCCTTCCAGCCTCCATAACACCCCACAATCCAGTACCACCCCTCCTTCCAGCCTCCCTAACACCCAACAATCCATTACCACCCCCCCCCCCCCCCATCCCCTATGGCCTCCATAACACCCCAAAATCCTGTACCATCCCTCCCTGGCCTTCTAGCCTCCATAACACCCCAAAATCCTGTACTGGACCCCTCCTTCCAGTCTCCCTAACACCCCACAATCCAGTACCACCCCTCCTTCCAGCCTCCCTAACACTCCACAATCCAGTACTACCCCTCCTTCCAGCTTCCCTAACACCCCACACAACAATCCATTACCACCCCTCCCTCTAGCCTCCCCAACACACAACAATCCATTACCACACCTCCCAGGCCCTCCAGCCTCCATAACACTCAAAAATCCAGTACCACCCCTCCTTCCAGCCTCCCTAACACCCCACAATCTGGTTACCCCTCCTTCCAACCTCCCTAACACCCCACAATCCAGTACTGCCCCTCCTTCCAGCCTCCCTAACACCCAACAATCCATTACCACCCCTCCCTCCAGCCTCCCTAACACCACACAATCCAGTAGTACACCTCCCTTCAGCCTCCCTAACACCCCACAATCTGGTTACCCCTCCTTCCAGCCTCCCTAACACCCCAAAATCCTGTACCACCCCTCCTTCCAGCCTCCCTAACACCCAACAACCCATTACCACCCCTCCCTCCAGCCTCCCTAACACCCAACAATCCAGTAGTACCCCTCCCTTCAGCCTCCCTAACACCCCACAATCTGGTTACCCCTCCTTCCAGCCTCCCTAACCTCAAAATCCTGTACCACCCCTCCTTCCAGCCTCCCTAACACCCCACAATCCAGTGCTACCCCTCCTTCCAGCCTCCCTAACACCCCACAATCCAGTACTACCCCTCCTTCCAGCCTCCCTAACACCCAACAATCCATTACCACCCCTCCTTCCAGCCTCCCTAACACCCCAAAAACCTGTACCACCCCTCCTTCCAGCCTCCCTAACACCCCACAATCCAGTACTATCCCTCCTTCCAGCTTCCCTAACACCCCACAATCTGGTTACCCCTCCTTCCAGCCTCCATAACACTCCACAATCCAGTACTACCTCTCCCTCCAGCCTCCCTAACACCCCACAATCCAGTACTACCCCTCCCTGGCTCTCTAGCCTCCCCACCACCCCACAATCCAGTACTACCCCTCCTTCCAGCCTCCCGATCACCCCACAATCCAGTACTTCTCCTCCTTCCAGCCTCCCTAACACCCCACAATCCAGTACTACCCCTCCTTCTAGCCTCCCTAACACCCCACAATCCAGTACTACCTCTCCCTCCAGCCTCCCTAACACCCCACAATCCAGTACTACACCTCCCTGGCTCTCTAGCCTCCCTAACACCCCAAAATCCTGTACCACCCCTCCTTCCAGCCTCCCTAACACCCCACAATCCAGTACTACCCCTCCCTCCAGCCTCCCTAACACCCCACAATCCAGTAGTACCCCTCCCTTCAGCCTCCCTAACACCCCACAATCTGGTTACCCCTCCTTCCAGCCTCCCTAACACCCCAAAATCCTGTACCACCCCCTCCTTCCAGCCTCCCTTACACCCCAGAATCCAGTACTACCCCTCCTTCCAGCCTCCCTAACACCCCACAATCCAGTACTACCCCTCATTCCAGCCTCCCTAACACCCAACAATCCATTACCACCCCTCCTTCCAGCCTCCCTAACACCACAAAATTCTGTACCACCCCTCCTTCCAGCCTCCCTAACACCCCACAATCCAGTACTACCCCTCCTTCCAGCTTCCCTAACAACCCACAATCTGGTTACCCCTCCTTCCAGCCTCCCTAACACCCCACAATCCAGTACTACCTCTCCCTCCAGCCTCCCTAACACCCCACAATCCAGTACTACCCCTCCTTCTAGCCTCCCTAACACCCAACAATCCAGTACTACCTCTCCCTGGCGCTCTAGCCTCCCCACCACCCCACAATCCAGTAGGGGGGAATGCAACGTCAATTAATGTCAGTATTCCATAAAAACCCCAAACTGACATTGACATTAATTGACATTAATTGACATTAATTGACATTAATATGTCTTGAAATTTGAGATTATCATTATTCGATAAATATTCAAGATATTCAAGATATTCACGTCTATGTAAGTTAGACCGGTTCAAAAAAACAAAATGTCCTTGAATAATTATGAGTATGTTCTTATCTGTTGATGCTTAGGTTCAAAGACCACCGAAAAAAATTTCAGCTTCCAACTCTTCCACCTTCGGTCCCCACCGGCCACGCCCATATTTTATTGGTTTCTTATACTCGTAAAATATCTAGAATCGGCTTTTTTAGTATGAAGGAGTAATGTTAGCTGTTTAAGATTCGTTTTTCAAGTATAAATGTCATGAAGGCATTTTGTTTAATGTGGGTTTTAAGTTCTGATGATGTTGAGAACCACGCCCTTGGATGGCCACGCCCATTTAAGAAAATTAAATTTCGGGAAACCGTATTATTTTTGTTTTATTGTTTAATGATCTGAATTTTTTCACATTTCACATTTCCATATGTGATAGTAGTGAATAAATTGATGATATAAACGTTCTAAAGTGCTAAAAATATGGTAGAACTACATAATCTCTGGTCGAAAAATATCGTGTCAATTAATGTCAGTATTCCAAAATTTTGCAAAACTGACATTGACATTAATTGACATTAATTGACATTAATTGACATTAATTGACATTAATTGACATTAATTGCCGTTGCATTCCCCCCATCCAGTACTACCCCTCCCTGGCTCTCTAGCCTCCCCAACACCCCACAATCCAGTACTACCCCTCCTTCCAGCCTCCCGATCACCCCACAATCCAGTACTTCTCCTCCTTCCAGCCTCCCTAACACCCCACAATCCAGTACTACCCCTCCTTCTAGCCTCCCTAACACCACACAATCCAGTACTACCTCTCCCTCCAGCCTCCCTAACACCCCACAATCCAGTACTACACCTCCCTGGCTCTCTAGCCTCCCTAACACCCCAAAATCCTGTACCACCCCTCCTTCCAGCCTCCCTAACACCCCACAATCCAGTACTACCCCTCCCTCCAGCCTCCCTAACACCCCACAATCCAGTAGTACCCCTCCCTTCAGCCTCCCTAACACCCCTCAATCCAGTACTACACCTCCCTGGCTCTCTAGCTTCCCTAACACCCCACAATTCATTGAATGTTTTCGCGGAAAATTACTTCTGTATTTCAATGATATTAAAAATTGATGCTTAATCCAATCATGAATAAAAATTGAAAATTTAACAACATGATAGCATCTTGCTAAAGTAAAAATTGAAAGCCGTCCTTTTAAAATGACAGTTATTTGCAATGCTGTCCTTTATAAAGGACGTTAAGTAATTTTTCCAAACACTGTCCTTTTTAAAGGACGGGACAGAATTCAGTGTCCTTTTAAATGGACGGGATAAAAATGTCATAAGCAAAACACAATTTTTTTAAATCACTGTTGCAATATCTAAGATAGCCCCTTAGGACGCAGGACACCAAATTTCATCAAAAAATTCGAATGTTTAGAGTGGTTGGGTTGATATGGGTTTTAAGAGGAACATTCTGATTCATACTTAAGACAAGTCACTCAACCTTCCGTAAACTTCCTTCCATGAACATCCTACCATGCTACAGCAGATTCTCAATTTGCCTGGCCTCTCGGGGAATGTCAAACTACGTGGAAAATGTAGATGCACAGAAAATAGAGGGACGTCATATTGAGAATTCAAGACGCTTTAATAATAGGAACGTTTAACGAAACAGCTAGGTCCTCTGAACTTTAAATCCAAACTCTACCTAAATAAGGTATTTTAAATGATTGACCTCACAACACACATGAGAGAATCATATACGAAATAAGTTACGTAATTACATCGTAAAAGACCGTCAGGGAGCGGCAAATAATTAACAACTTGTCAGTAACCACTAAACGACAGAATGGCTCACCCTACTTTGGTGTATTAGTGATTAGTATAGGCAGGTGCGTGTTAATGACTTGCAGTTAGCTCTGGGTTGCAGCAGTGAACTACCAAGTTGGTAATTATTCGTGTATGTGGTGGGTGCGACATAAATTCTAATGATCGCCGCCTGGTTGAGTGTTTATTGGGGCGATTGTGGGGGATTATTGCTGTCATTTTAAATAGGTGGGTGAGTACACTAGCGCGAGGTAATCACCAAACATATCATAAACCCATAACAATTATATATTAAGTATATCATAAAACATGCAACAAACACGTAGGTGAAGGTTACCTTTTGATTGATCCATATAGAGTCTTCATCGTATATACAGAGTATGTATCCTTAAAATTAGCTACAACTTTTTTGTTAATGATGTAGGTCCAGACAGAAACAGTACTGATTTAATTCAAGGCAAACTATCAATTTTCACAAGTTCTTTAATAGCTATAGTACTTAGTAGCCCAACAAAACTTTAGCAATAAAACTTCTTATACAATAACATTAACATTATGACTATATTCGAAGCAAACCATCTACATCAAAAATGTAATGATGGAATTTAATTATGATTCGAAATCTTAGCCGTTTCGAAGAAACATGTTTCTTCGAATACCATGCATTTCTTCGAATATCATAGATATGTTATACGTCGTAATAGAACATCTACTTCCCTTTGTTTGAACGTCCTCATCACTGAGTCTAAGCACAGGAAACTAGGATTTCTATACGAAAAAATCATAACGTGATAATTGAGACCGCTTCTACTAAATCGCTCGCCCAAATTGAAAAATTCTTGTGAAAAGGCCCAGAGGGTATGACAGTAACGTTGCTCATTCCGAATCACCCCTATGACGTAGGGTAAAAATGCTTCCTTGGGGAGTTATGAGCAAAAACTGTTTTGGTCACGTGAGACAGGCTAGTAAAACGCAAATTGGATTGTGGTTAGGGTTGTGGTTAGGGTTGTGGTTAGGGTTGTGGTTAGGGTTGTGGTTAGGGTTGTGGTTAGGTATGTGGTTAGGGTTGTGGTTAGGGTTGTGGTTAGGGTTGTGGTTTTAGGGTTGTGGTTAGCTTTGTGGTTAAGGTTGTGGTTAGGGTTGTGGTTAGGGTTGTGGTTAGGGTTGTGGTTAGGTATGTGGTTAGGGTTGTAGTTAGGTATGTGGTTAGGGTTGTGGTTAGGGTTGTGGTTGGGGTTGTGGTTAGGGTTGTGGTTAGGGTTGTTGTTAGGGTTGTGGTTAGGTATGTCAATGTGGTTAGGGTTGTGGTTAGGGTTGTGGTTGGGGTTGTGGTTAGGGTTGTGGTTAGGGTTGTGGTTAGGGTTGTTGTTGAAGGTGATCTATTATTTTCAATATAAGATCTTATGAAAGTCAATGATTTCCCCTTGTAATTTGTAATATTAGACGTAAATGTTGATGGGGTTCTTGAACTGCTGAAGTTTTCTAACTTCGGACTACTTATAGTTGACCCTATTTTGAAGAACCATACCTCGGCAGTTAGAATTCAATGCTCTTCCAGGAATTATTGGTTAATTAGAATTCAAGTTTAACAATGCTGAGTTTAATTTTACTAAGTTACTGAAATGTAACGAAATTCACTTTTCCTGCCCCAACAGTACAATTTCAATGTGACGAAAAATTGGCATGGGTTTCTACATTTCTTGTATAAATCCATTTCAACTATAATAAAGACTGTTGATATGAAAGAAAATCTATCTAAATTTTAAAATGACGTATGTGACGAAATTTACATCCCTTGCCCCTATTTTGAAGAACTACACCTATTTATGAAAAATAACAGACTCTAATTTTTTTCACGATAATTATCGTAAATCAAAGAAGTGGATGCCTTTAATAGATACAGTCTTGAGTCTGGGCGAGAGTCATGAAAAGATAACCATTCGTTGAAATATCGTCCCAGAGTCTTAGACAAAGAACTTAAACTTAAAGAGAACTGAATGTTAGTGAACTGGAAGTGGAGCAGCTATTTAAGGACAGCTGTGCTCATCATATTTGGTCTCAACATTCCTCCATATCTGCTTACTTGTATCAAGATATGTATCTGTAGTCTCGTAGCTTAAGCAGAGCTGTGCTCATCATATTTGGTCTCAACGTTCCTCCATATCTGCTTACTTGTATCAAGATATATATTTGTAGTCTCGTACACTTCAATCTGTTACTATGATATGTGATAAATTTAAATTTGTAAATGTTCAAGTAAAAGAAAAAAGGCCGTTCTAAATAAGAATTCCACTGTAGTTTGCTTGCATCAAGAATCAAGATACTTTGGCTTTACTAGCTTGCATCAAGATGTAACTTATAGTATGGTAGTTAAACTGTGCTACACTTCAGTATGTTACTATGATCTGTGATAAATTTAAATTAAATTAATTTATTTGGGTTTTTATACTTCCTGTATCTCTGTATTAATCATTTCAGCTATAAAACTAAACTCAGCATGTGTAATAACAGAAGGAGATAAAGTGGAGATAAATTGTGTCATTATAGAGGGAAGGGGGAGATATATAATGAGCGGGCAAGGTGAGCAGAAAGAGGTGAGCAGCGGGAGATTCAGGGTAGATAGAAACAGTATTGTGCGGGCGAGATGGGCAGAAGGAAGTGAGAAGATAGCAGGGTAGAGTGAAACCGTGTCATAACAGAGGGTTGGAGAGATATATAATGAGCGGGCAAGGTGAGCAGAAAGAGATGAGCAGCGGGAGATTCAGGGTAGATAGAAACAGTGTCATTGCCGACGTTGGGGGGGGGGGGGGGGGGGGGAGAATATTTTGAACATAGCTTAGGAGATCAAATAGAGGAGGAAATGCTTTGAGAATGCTTTAAGAATGAACACTGGACAGGTTTCTGATGAAGATTTGTTCCTCAATGTTTATCAGTAACACAAATTCTGGAGCATCATATCACATACATTTTCCGATTGATGTGATAAATCTCAGCTGATTACATACAGAGGCGGCTCGTGGGAGCTGGCTGGCAGTTTTGTTGGGGGTCCAATCGATGGACTGGGGGGAAGTCTTATAAGTATAGTTAAGCTAAAATTGACATGAAGATCCCATATGTTTAAAATGTAGATTGAATCTGTTATCGATAAATTCAAACGAACCCACCTACAGTCTACACGACTGTTGATGGACAATATGAATAAGTACACCTCAAAGAAGGCTCGTGGTACTTTCACTATTTTAACTGAATGTGTCTTAAATGACCAATTAATGAAGTCACTGTGGATGGCACAAGACTCGATTAAGGTAATGAAAGTTAAATTACCAAAGAAAGCTTTGATAAACGGAACATCACCACATTTTGGAAGGTTTTTTGAATAGAAGCTTATTGCAGTCTTCTTGACCGAAATTTCAACACAGTGTCCTTGGCCATTTTAATAAAAAAGTATGCGATCAAATAAAAATACAAATTTTAAAGACTTACCTTTTGAACGGGCCTGCGATTGCTAAAATCCCCGCCAAATTGGATCGACTTGCTGTCTGGATATCAGATACATCACTCGTTACTGCGAAGATCATGAGCTTATTTGAATAATTGAACCATGGCATAAAATTAAAAGGATCACTACTCCTCATCACGTGCAATTATTAATGAATGAGGAACTCCATGAATTGTCCTTGGGATATAATGTAACACAAATCTATCAAGTTCTTTTATTTTTACTATTTTTTAATTTAAAAACGATTTTGAAAACTATTTATGGTTGCCAAAACCACCTTTTCCGGGAGTGTAATTAAAATAACCGTTCCTGGTCACGTGATTTGTAGGTTTATAACCTACCAGTACCAAGACGCGCGCCGAGTTCGAGCGTACTAAATCACTCTACAGTCGATCTTCGAGATTGTTCTAAAAGGGCCCCCGACAGTTGAAACCAACTTCAATCGATGTAATTTCGGACGCTGATTCCGAATCACCCCCATGACATAGCCATAGGGTTAAAATGCTCCCCTGACGAGATATAGGCGAAAAACTGTCTCGATCACGTGATATGACCGTATAAGGAAGTTAATCTAATTTCTCGTTAGGGTTAGGGTTTCAGCATATGCTTTTGTTAAGGATTGGGTTAGGGTTCGGGTTGGGATCAGATAAGAGGGTTAGGGTTTCGAATAGTCGTTCAGGACCAGCTGGAGAACGGGTTGAAAAAGTCACGTGACAGTCGAGTGTAGAGTGATTAATTATCATCCCGCCGAGTTGGACTCGTCGACGGTCCTAATATTTGAAACAAATATTTTACGAGTATCACCCGTTAACACGTGATAGGATCAGCGGTCACGTGATATAATAGGATCCCTAGGTACCGAGTACCGTTCCTTACAACTGAACTTTCTTTGGGATAAGCTATTTTTGTATACAATATTGGCCATCTTCTTGCTAATGGATAATGCTGTAAGTGTAATTAACTTGGCAGGATTTGGTATAACATGTTTAATCCATACCGGACCGGATGGATTATGACAGAGTTAAAGTTAAATCGGCAGGTTTTCTTTAATCTTACAGAAAGTAAGCTGCTTTTTATTTCAAAACCTGCGTTAACAAAATATACAGGTTTATATTTATTAGTTATTTAACCTGATACAATATCTTTGAGTTTGTCGCGTAGTAGCGAGGTAGCGAGGTAGTTAATACTTTGATGAGCGGAGACTGCAGAGTATGTATCATACATGCTAACCAAGGGACCTTATTGTCGGGAATTCTAATTGATCTAGTTGCTTGGTTAATACGTGTCGGATCAATCAGCCACTGAGTGGCTGCCACTCATTAGTCTGATAATTGTTTAGTTATATCTGAGGGGCCCTTCTGTTGTGCAGCAGCAGTGACCAGCCTAAACATATCTTAACTCGCTTTGCATCGCGACTCATATCAAGCACAAGTTATACAGTGATTACAGCTTAGTAATCATACATATTGGGTATTAGAACGATTTGAACAAAATTGCCAATCTTATCGGGCGCATTCTCCAATTTTATTGAGACGTTAAGTTTTTGCATTAATTTCATTATTTTCTCTATTCATAAGTGCACAAGTCATTCTCGTAACGAACTAAAAGGATAAATCAAATCTCGGATAAACCATGAAATAAATAAGAACTACAGTATCGAACAAATACATATAATCTGTCAGAAGGTTGAAAATCTGTGAGATTTGTACATAATTGCAAACTGAACTATATGACACAAAAGATAGTTTGTAACCCCAAACTACTACTGCTAACTCTATGTATGGTTATGTATCATGACGGGAACGTTAAAATAAGCTACCACTCTAATACCCCCATAAAATGTACAATGTACAATGTACTGCAAACGTCGCCTTTTAGGACCCCATGGTCAATAAACAGAATAAAACTTGAACACTTCAATTTCTCAACGGGGTATCAAATGGAAATTTTCAATATGAGAGAAATCACATTAAAATTTGCAATGGTTCCATTGTCATTTGTCAAGTTCAGTACTTATGACGGTGACTCTCCTAGGGTTTCTCATAGTCCCCATACAATATGCCTACCATCATGGTATATTGATTATTGAATTTCCGATATAAAGATCTTAATCTAGGCCCCTCTAGGAACATGCATCTTATTGTATAGGGGTCGTTCACATATTACGTAATGACCCCCCCCCCTCCTTAACTAGTTTTACATAGAGCTATTGTGTCAAAATCACACTAGCGTAATCACTTGGAAACTCCCTCCCCCTCCCCCCCTCCCCCGGCCCCCTCAGCTGATTACCTACTATGTGAAGTACCCCTTACTTCAAGATGCTGAAATATACATATTCCCGTGTGTTGACAAAGCTCTTGTTTACAAAGGCATTATAGATGGAAATTCTGAAAAAAAGATATAATATGTAAGACATCCTTTATTCATGTTAAGACTGAGAACTAGGACTAGATGGAACTATCGTTTATATTCAGTTGAAAAATCGTATTCTAATTTCCATATTATCCATAGGGTCCTTTACTGAAGGACTACTATTACGTACTGAAGAACTAATTATATATTTATTATATACTGATTATAAATCATAACTATTCCCCAGCCCATTTTACAAATTAAACATATTTAATGAGCTGGAACCTATTGTTGGTGCGGCAAACTCTAGACGGCACTTCCTATATGAAACTAAAAAGAAAATCTTGGAGAGCATGATAATAAAATACATACAACGATTTTAAATTATTAAAACATTATTTATTCATGTATCTATGTTAATGTATACAGGTGGATTTAAAAGTTCTCACAAGAACGCCTAACGAAACAGAATCCTAATATCCTATGTTGACTGAAATGTGTCATTTCATTTTAAATAACGTGCTCTTAAAATCTCTCAATTCAGAAGACCGGGGTTCAGTGGATGGTTGATCTTCCAAAATTTTCGCCTTCTTCTCTGAAAAAAGTTAGTCGTTCCAGTTGTCTGGTACTTTGTCCTTCTTCGCCATTCTCCTGAAGATTAGTATGTGTTAAATTCCTGCAGCACACTGGATGATAGTTGGTCTAATTTGGAGCCAAATCTCGTGATATAGACTATTAGGGGTCGCCACGATTCACATATTACGTTATCAGCCGAGGGAGGAGGGGCCGGGGGTTCGACACAATAGGTATGTGTAAAACTGATCAGGGAGGGGGAGGGGGGTGGGTTAAAAATTGGCCAAAAATTGATTACATAATAATATGTGAACGGTCCTTATAGAATATAGATGCAAAAAAGGATCAAACAGAAAATTAGCATCTTTATTTTACCAATACTTTTCTGTTCCGGTAATGATCATGATAAATTAAATTGGTAAGGTCTGCTAAGTGCTTACTTCTGTTGTTTGTATTTGTTGTTTGTAGCCTTGGCCATTCTCTCCATGTCCTTCCGTTCTTCTAAATAAGCCTACAACAAGTTCAATTATAATTAATTGCAATAATGGTAACCTTCAGTAACGATAGTAAAAATTATTATCTATTCATATTACATACTATGTTAAAATGGCACGAACCAAATTTCGGAAAGTCAACACCTAACCACTAACCAGTAACCAGGATATCACAATATTTCGTCGGCAAAGTTTAAACTTTAGAAAGCAAACACTCGACTCCTAAAAACTCATAAAAAGTATAATTACCTCTGCGTTAGCCTCGTACCATAGTTCCTTATTATAGAGCGAATCTTTCTTCTCTTCTGATACAGCCTAAAAAAAATCATTTTTAAACATTGTAAAAAAACGAAATTGTCAATCATTATATTGTAGCGAATGCAAAATAGGGGTTCATTGTTCAACAGTTCCATCATACCGATTATAAAATCACACGGTGTTTAGAAACGTAGCAATACTTCTTATATGACACACGATAAGTAAGTTAAATTCCTTACTTCCCACTGAACTTCGTTTAGGCCTATACACATTCTTGTTCGGTAATCTTTTTCGTCCTCGTCAAATTCTTCTTTCCTTATCTTGTATTTATAGAAGCGTTTTGTATGGAACCAAGCCAGTTTACCCCATACAAATGGTCTGAAACGATGAAATCAGTGGTTAATGTGTGAGAGGGTTATAAGTGGGAATTTCTAGGCAAGCTGGTAAATTAGTTGGTGTCTGAACGAATAAATCAGTGAATATTACTTTCCAACTTACAACATAAGAAGTTGAAAAGCCAAGATATCCGTCCACTCTGGTTTCTGGTATCCTCCCTGGATGTCCAGCTTGGATTCCACTATGTCTCTTAAGATTTTCTTTTCTAGCAATCTTTGTTCCTCTTTTGACATTCCTTTGAAGAATTTCTTTTCAAGAAGACCCTCTGATTCAGCCAACTGCTTCGCCTGAGAATAAGAGAGCTGTGAGTTTTTCTCGATTATCTACATAAAACTACAAGAATGCAGCAGTATTACATATCCATTAAAGGTTTTTTACTAAGTCGAGCAAGATGGTCTGAACACGAAAACTTAGTTCTATCATTGATCCTGGCCTACTTCGAAAGGGAGAAATTCATTAACTATTTTCTTGGAACTGTGGCACCCCCAAATGTTTCGTGGCCCTTAATTTATTCCCCGGCAGCGTTCTAGAGTTTCCGTATACCATTTCAGTTCACAGAAAGCTGTAAAGACACCCACATATTTCTTTTACGTCGAACGAATCTCGAGAAAAGCGGGAATTTGCATATTTTACCGCAAAGCAGGAAAATGTCACGTAAAAATGCATGTAAAAAAATTTGGCAGAGTGATTCCCCTCTGATAGACTAACATTAAGTAACAATCAATTCTCAGAACCTTTAAAAAGTTAAAGTTTGGCGAACTTGTTGCACAAAAAGGGTGGTATGCCGTTATTATTATATGCATTCCAATTAAATAAGCACGTACCGGACAAATTCGGTCGAATTTACAAAAATAGATGACTGTGTTGCGCGCTGCTCTCTAGTCGGATGTCAGAGCGCGCTACTCCAAGTCAAATCTGGGGTTGCTCAACATTGAGACCATGAAAATGACGCGTATATATGACGTGTTACTAAGGGCGCGACTTTAGAGGACACAGTTTCCGGAACTAAAAGACAATAACTTATGTATTTCAATACTGAGCAACATAATGAACTACAGAACAATTAGTAAGTATAAATAGGATGCAGTTAAAACAACAAACGCTTAAATAACTACAATATTCACCTGGTTACGTATATGTGGCACGTTGAGTGCGTAGTCTATCGCTCTGTTGTACGAGCTGTGCTTGTGGAAATACTGAAAATACATATGATGAGGGACCCACACATTTCATTAAGCTGCTCTGTCGACCCTTTCCTTGAATTGGAACTGCAAAATGCAAATAGCCATTAGGCGTCCAGAATAACAGATTTACATGCGTGTCTGTGGTTCAATGATATTTGAAACAAAATAACAGGAACCAGCGAAGAAGATAAAACAATTTAATTATTTAACTCAAATTTTATCAAATTAGGAAACTAACGTGAAGTAAAGAAAGGACGATAAGGGAAATGATAAGAATGGGAGTGACATCAACTTTGGGAGTAGAATGAGAAAAGAACCGGTAAAAATGCTCCATGTAGATGTCAGGGTTTTCGAGTAGGTAGTCGTAGTTGGTCCGGGAAACTTCATTTCTTAACGTCTATTTTAGGAAAGCTTTGTATTATATTGAGGGTTTTAAGTTATTAGTTTTTACAGTTATCATATTGAGCTATAAAGTAAATTATATCAAATGTCATAGATGAGATTGTATCAAGTATATAATTAGATGAATTTAGGCACAGATTACAGAAACAAGGGAAGATGATTCTGGTCAAATTAAAATTTAGAAATGCAATCCCTAAGCTATGGGACATGGGTCCACGCTAACTGATTAGACAGGGATCTACTCCCTACAAACTGCTAAGAATCACGTGATAAATATCACGTGATAATATCACGTGACAATTGTACACACATACCTCGTACGCTGCCACCAACAATTCAAACTTCTCGTGGGCATCCTCCGCCTTATTATGGTCAGGATGCAAATCCTTTGCTAATTTCCGGTACTGTTTATTTATCTCTTTCTGTGGAGTAATCACATAATTATTAATTGGATAATTTATTGCATAATTAGGGTAATTTCCTGAATTACGTGTAAGCTATTATGGGCCACCTGTGTGTGGGTAAAGTTTCACGGACACACGTCACACAAGTGTTAAAATGTAGATAATATAGAAAATAGACTTTGTAGTGTAGAACAAAGCACTATAATACAATAAGATGGACAAACAAAGCAACAATTGCTCAATATTCATCACTTTTATAATGTATCTCGTTAACATTAACTCGAAAGGGGGGGGGGGGGGGGGGGGGGGGGCGGGGGGTCATACACATAGTACTGACTACTGTATATGACGTTGGAGTGGTGGGTCATATTTTCTTCCAAAACACAGTTAGTACTTTTGTACTAAGTGGTGGGTCTGCTGCTCATTTCCCAGATAAATAGTTAGTACATGGTACTAAAACCCAAAAAAACCCCATGTACCTCAAATTTCAATTTTGTAAATGGGTTTTGAGGTTTTTTGAGTTTTTTTTTGTTACATTTTTTATTTTCTTCCCTTTTTTTGTAACTTTTTTATCTAATTCGAATACATTGAAAACAAAACTCCTCCTAAATAGTGGGTATAATAAATAATTTGCCCATTTCCCAATGTTTAATGAGCTTTTTAAAACAATTTCTGGGTGGGTATCTTATTTTATATACCAAGATTTCTCAACAGTTAGTACCGCAAAAGCCGGCAAAAGGGGGTGGGTGTCTTAATTATTATCCTAAAAAACAGTTAGTACTGCGAAGGGGGTGGGTGGGTCTTTTGAAAAATTCCAAAATTACACTTAGTCGACGTCACGTACAGAATTTAGTACCTGATCACCCTCCCCCTCCCGCAGCTAACGAGTAACTCAGCGCAGCTACAATCACTGGTCGATATTATACGTGACCTGACACGCGTTATAATATAACACGTGATGTAATGAACATCACAGATTAACCAGATCACAATTCCCATTACATCCTATAATGATCTCACAGGATTCCCCCACTAAAACCCGCCAATTACTCAGCCCTCCAGCTCCCCTGGACTTTAACTACACAGAATGTAAGCCAATTATTACACACGCGTTACTTTATCATGACGTGTTATAACTCAGATTAGAGAATAGAAAGGGTCCAAACCCACATTGAACATCTCCTTTTGCACGACTTCTAACTAGTAATAATAATATCAAATATAATCTTTCCTTGTGATAACCACAGCGTTACAGCCTACAGCAAACTTTGCTACCATGATACTGATTATCACCAATAAATTTACTGATTATCACCAATAAATTTCTTAATTTGGCATTTGCATTTTGCATTCATTTGCATTCTTAGCACACTATGACTTTTTCAATTGAGCACCTAACAAACCTACGAGAGTGTTAACACTGTTGCGCTTTACAACACGTGTCAGAATTAACACGTGTCACAAAAAGAGCTCCCTAGCAGTAGCAGCAGCTGGAGACTGTTTTAAAATCTAATTAAATGTGCAATAAGTACTGACGGCCAGTTAGTTGAACAGTGTGTGGTGAGGTTAACGAGAAGTTAGGGCATTGTTAAAATATTTTAACATTGTTAGTATGTTTTAACTTTTTAACAAAGATTTTGAGCGTAAAATGATGTTTTCAAAAAATTTCACAACATCTTTATACACAAACCTTTGTCGCTGTCGGTTCAATATCCATAACTGAAATAAAACATATGTTAGAGTTACATAAGAGAAAAACAGCAAATATCAGGCTCACTATTTAAAACAACAGAATAGATAATTCAAAACAAAATTATTTCTAAATAAACAACTAAACTTACTCTCGTAACAATTGTGTCGTCCGCAGTACATGCTGTCGAATATTCCGGCCTGGACCAAACACACCGTCGCAGAAAGCAGCAGTAGAATTGAGAGTCTTAACATAACGACAACTTCCTATCCGAGGGTTCTTAGTTAGTACGGGGGCAATGACGCATAAAATGGCATAAAATGGCATAGATTACATGTAAAATGGCATAGATGGCTTAAATTTTTGTCCAAACTGACATTTTATGCCATGAATCTAGGTCATCCAATTACACGTTTGGAATGACTTGACATATTATATAAATTATGCTTAGTGCTTCAGTAAAAAACATTTTAAAGCTTTGCAGTTTGCAATGCTTAAGTTTGCAATATTTTTAAGATAAACGGCACCAAGGCATAAAATATGGTAATTCTCATATTTTGCATGATTGTTGAATTTTGTCGGTTAGTTTAATTATATTTAGAGTTTTAAAGAGATGAGTCCAATTAATTTTATAAACAGAAAAATTAACAATATAACAGAAGTAAAGCCAAGGGAATTTTCATCATACAAAATTGTGATTGTGGTGAAATAATCTTGAAAAATTAGAAAATGTAAAATGTAAAGAATAAGACGTAATAGATATTGGTTATGAAATGAGATATCTATAACCCGCTCATATGATTAACCAATAACACAAGGAAGGTGGTTAACCATGTCAGTCGTCAAAGCGGCTGGCTGTGAGTGATATGAGCAAATGAGAAAATTGAACAAAAGTGTAACTCAAAAAAGGCAAAAACAAAATTAAAACATCTCTTATTATAAACCACACTAAGATAACCATAAGTAACTTGAACGGAAACAGTACAAGTTAATGCAGGTAAATAAGAGGTAGTGACATTAATGATAATTGAGAACATAAAATACAGATCCTAAAAAAGTAGAACATGACACCTAAAGGAGTGCGGAAAAAATAAAATCAAAGCTGTCTCACTAAAATGAGAACAAATGGGAAAAAGAAGGACATCAAAACGGATTGTATAACATTCAATATTCGCTTGAAGCAGTTAGTGTTGGTAATACATCGCAACATCAGTGGAAGAGAGTTCCATGCAATTAAGAGAGTTCCGCGCAAAGAGTTCCTTACAAAGATAAGATTACGATTCAATAATCAACTTTTACAGTAACGTTATAATGCAACAATTGTCAGAACTTGAGATTCAGATATTAATAAAAACTTTTGATCATCAAGGCTCTACCAAAAACGTTTTTGATGACATTAAAAATAAACATACAATGTCTGGTAGAACCAGTTTGACAATATCGTTACTTCCATTTCCTAATAATATCTAATCATTCTTTGTAAACTCAACAAAATAGTTGGCATTTTCAACTATGACTCTGTTGTTATTATTCTTCAGAAAACGTTGACAAGCTGACTTTAAGTCATAAAACAAAGCTTTCTTTTCTTCAGAACTGACTGCATCATCCGATAAGTCTTTAACGAAAGTAGTCAACTTTATTAGAAAGGGTAGACTGTATTCTTGTGAATGATCAAGATACGATATAACAACTTTGATTATCAAGGCAAACATTGTAAAACTAGAGTCCTCGCGGTTTAGAGGTTTGCCAAACAAGGAAGGAATCAATTTCGGCATTGCAAATAGATGATGTCAGGGAATTTGCAAGTTATGTTCCATGTTGCTCTCAGAACATCTATGAATATTTCAAATTCTTCCTCTGTTTTGCCTGGATATGGTATAAAAAACATCTCCTTATCTTTTAAAACAATGGCTTTCCACAGATATAAAACGTTTGCAACCATGACTTGGGGTACAAGGGCTGGAGAAATATCATCCAATACATAAGCAGCTGCTTTTATGAAAATGAATTTTGTTCGAACGGTTAAGTTATTTCTTAGATCTGCATTAATCGTTGAATTCGTCTCATTAATATCAACATAATGCTTTTGTTTGTTAGCAAGATCTGGTAAATAGTCAACAAACTTTTCCATTACTTCCTTTGTTCCCATAAGATCACAGGTGAAATCTAATGTTTCAACCAGATGATACATAAATTGCAGGTCTTCAGTGGGGATAAGAGCTGTTCCAATCCCACAAACGAAATCACACTCTACAAGAGCTTGCAGCTGTGAAGAAATTTGTCCCCTTCCATCATCTTTAATTGACTTTAAATTTTTCACTAACACCGAGAGTATATTCCCAATGATTTCTGTGATACTATAGATTATGGGGTAGTTATCAGTGTCTTTTTGTGAAATCAACTCTAAACATATAATGGTATACCAGGTAGCAGCTGATCAATGTCAGTCAAGGAGAGGTTATGAGACTTTCCTTTATTGCATAATAAGCAGACCCATATCGATTCCCAAACATATATTCTGTTTAGTTTGTCTTCTAGTCCGGTGTGAAATATCTTTGCATTCTGAACCAATAGTGAAATAAACCCAGACGCTCTGAGTTGAATAAGATTATCCTCTTTCAACAATTCACTGGCTGCAACTAAAAAATTCGTTAGATGTATTGCTTTTTTCAGGTAATCAGTTAATGAATAAGCAGCTGAATGCCTCTGTGGATCTATAAGGTGGGGTAGATATTTAATCACCCAATGGAAATCTCATATAGAATAGGTTGTTCTAGCCGAACACGTAGATGTGTTAGAGCATCAAGCAAACACATCAACTTATCATATTGAATGTTTTTGGAACGGAGTTCTATGACCAAGTAAAGTGTCAGTTTCTGAAAAAGTTTCTGTTTCACAAAATAGTCTCGATCTTCTTTATCATCTTTTATAAGTTGAGCAATAATCATTTTCAAGAATATCACGAAAGCAATGTTATTTTTAGCAACAACAGAGAGATTGTCGATCGCAATTCTATTCAAGATTCGAAGTTCAGAAAAGATTCCATAATTGTAGCCGTTGTAGACAGTATTGACATCACATCGAGTGACTTTATATACAGCTCGGATCATGTCAACAAGGTAAGTTTCGACAAAACCGTCACTGTCACTTCCATCCCTGAATATTTTCACCAACTTACATATTGTTCCATCCTGGATATAGGACCGAACGACCGGTCTAAAATAAGCCACCTCATCGTCTTGTCTAATCAAATAATATTGAAGGATATCCAATATTGAGTTATAAACACGCTCATTCTTACTCCTATCCAATTTTTCTGTGACTCTAATAAGTAATGGCAGATTAGAAAAAATATCATCTTTCCATTTTACACTTCTTTCAAAGAATCTCGTGTTTTCAAATTGGGTCAATGTGAATAAAGTAAGTAGAGAAACTGCCCAATAAATATCACTACGATCACTTAATCGTGGTAGTGCTAGCAAAATTGTTTTGGCTGCATCATTTTCCAGCATACAGCCAGTGAATGTAGGTTCGGGTGCATTGTCAGTGTGTCCACTCCATCCAATAAAAAACAGTCCATTTAGCGGTCCTATCAGTAAGTCTTCATCGGCAAGTTTCCATAAACGATATTTTATGATCGTCGCCGATAATCGCTTATTGAGCGCTTTTTCGGCGCTTTTTAAAAAAAAAACCGTTTACAATCGCTTTTTTTACGATTATAAACGGTTCAAAAAAAATCGCTTATAATCGACTATAATTGGTGTCATAATTCAAAAAAGCGCTTTTTTGAATTTAAAAGCGCTTATAAGCGCTTTTAAGCGCTTACTAGCGTCGCTGAGCGATTTGAAAGCGGTTTTCCAGTAGGATTAGCGCCAAAAACGGGTGGATAAGCGGTTGGCCGGATAAGCGATTCGTAGGCGCTTTTTTGAACCATTTATAAGCGATTATAAGCGCTTATAATTGGGGTGCAATTTAGCTGTTTGTAAAGCGCAAATAAAGCGCTTATAAGCGCTTTTAAAATTGAGTCAGGAAAACGCTATATTACATCTTATAACCGCTTATAATCGATTATAAGCGTTTTTTTAGAAATCGCTTATAACGGCTAATTCATCGCTATTTCACCGCTTTTACCGCTTTTCCTATCATCCATGACCAGGTGAGCAGGAATTAAAAAGCGCTTATAAGCGCTTTTTCGATGCTGCCCCTAGCCTGGTCGGAACGGGGTAGTGCCCGGAATTTAAAAGCGCTTATAAGCGATTTCTCAATTCCCCTTAACCTGGTTGGAACTTTCATGTGCTTTTCTGAGCAACCTGGGGTGCACCGGCAGAATCAGGATTTAAAAGCGCTTATAGGCGCTTATGATCGCTTTTCTACCACTTTTCCTATCACCCATGGCATGGGTTGGCAAGAATTATAAAGCGCTTATAAGCGTTTTTCAATGCTGCCCCTTACCTGGTCGGAACGGGGGAGTGCCCGGAATAAAAAAGCGCTTTTTAAATGCTGCCCTGAGTGCCCCTAACCTGGTCGGAACTGGAAATCAGAGTGCCCGCTTATAAGTGCTTTTCTGAGCAACCTGGGGTGCACCGGCAGAGTCAGGATTAAAAAGCATTATGATCGCTTTTCTACCGCTTTTTCTATCACCCATGGCCTGGTTGGCAAGAATTATAAAGCGCTTATAAGCGTTTTTTCAATGCTGCCCCTAACCTGTTTGGAACGGGGGTGTGCCCGGAATTAAAAAGCGCTTATAAACGATTTCTCAATTCTCTTCAACCTGGTCGGAACTGGAGAGTGCCCACTTGCATGTGCTTTTTTGAGCAACCTGGGGTGCACCGGCAGAGTCAGGATTTAAAAGCGCTTATAGGCGCTTATGATTGCTTTTCTACCGCTTTTCCCATCACCCAAGGCCTGGTTGGCAAGAATTATAAAGCGCTTATAAGCTTTTTTTCAATGCTGCCCCTAACCTGGTCGGAACGGGGGAGTGCCTGGAATTAATAAGCGCTTATAAGCGATTTCTCAATTCCCCTTAACCTGGTCGGAACTAGAAATCAGAGTGCCCGCTTATAAGTGCTTTTCTGTGCAACCTGGGGTGCACCGGCAGAGTCAGGATTTAAAAGCGCTTATAGGCGCTTATGATCGCTTTTCTACCGCTTTTCCCATTACCTAACCATGTGCATGCTTTCGCGCCACTTCGGGCGCGCTTGTTTCACAAGTACGTCAAGAAGTGAGTGGGCGCGCGCTACTGCAAGCGCAAGGGCTCTGGATAGAGCAAA